TGGGAACCGGGCGAGCTGGGGGTGGGAGCTGGGGGTTCGCTTGGGGTCTCCCAGGTTTAGAGGTGGGGTTGTACCCAGACTCTCCTCGTGCCTTGACTCAGCTTTTATTGCTTTCACAGACCCACCTCCGACCCTGAAGCCAGAGACTCAGGTGAGGTTCCCCTTACCTTGCAGCCCAGTATTACTATCCGACCCGCCTCTCCCCTTCCTCCCTCCTCCCTTCTCCAGCTTCCTTATTCCTGGGTATATGCCTTTGGAAATGCCCCTCTTAAACCCCGTATGATACAACTTTCCTTCCTTCAGCCACCCGAGAAACGTCGGAGAACAATTGAGGATTTCAACAAATTCTGCAGTTTTGTCTTGGCCTATGCCGGCTACATCCCCCCCAGCAAAGAGGTAGGAACAGGAGGTCAACTGACATGAGGGTAGTGGCCCAGGACTGTAGAGGTCTGTTGAGCAACTGGAGCTATACTTACTTACAGAAGGAGCCCGTCCGAAACTGTATATAAGACTAGGGCAATTAGAAATTCTAGTAGGAAAGCTATCTGGGGTGGGGGTGGGATTAATGGAGATAGCTGGCCTGAGCAGCAGTGAATGGCCTTGGGGTTCTGTTAATGGGAGGTGTTTTGGATAAATTTTTGGAAACTGTAAATGATAACCAATGAGGCTATACAGAAAGCTACATAATGAGATTCTTGTTGGAGGGATACAATGTTGCAAAGGCAGTGGGAATTGGAGAAATGGCTAAAATGTAAGGGCAGAAGTAACATGGAGATGCTCATGGGAATTGGGGTGGGGATACATTTTTGAGCACAGTGGTGATTTTATGTTTTTGGCAGGGTATTTGGGGGTAGATTAGTCCCTAGGTTTTAAGCTAGGATTGTAGAGGAACTGAGTGAGATAACACTGGGTCCCCTGCTGACCCGGGTCTTGTTCCTCTTTTAAGGAAAGTGACTGGCCAGCCTCGGGCTCCAGCTCTCCATTGCGAGGTGAGAGTGCGGCAGACAGTGATGGCTGGGACTCAGCCCCCTCAGATCTCCGAACCATCCAGACCTTTGTTAAGAAGGCAAAGTCATCCAAGAGACGGGCTGCTCAAGCAGGTCCCACCCAGCCAGGACCCCCAAGGTCCACCTTCTCTCGTCTGCAGGCCCCCGACAGTGCCACCCTGCTTGAGAAGATGAAGCTCAAGGACTCTCTCTTTGATCTAGATGGGCCCAAAATGGCATCTCCACTGTCTCCCTCATCCCTCACACATGCCTCCCGGCCCTCTGCTGCTCTCACCCCAGTACCCCTTTCCCAGGGGGACCTCTCCCAGCCTCCTCGAAAGAAGGACCGAAAGAACAGAAAGTTGGGGCCAGGAGGGGGGGCTGGCTTTGGGGTGCTTCGGAGGCCTCGGCCAGCCCCTGCGGATGGGGAAAAGAGGTCTCGAATCAAGAAGAGCAAGAAGCGGAAGTTGAAAAAGGCGGAGCGGGGGGATAGACTCCCACCTCCTGGGCCTCCCCGGGCACCTCCCAGTGATACAGACTCTGAAGAGGAGGAGGAGGAAGAGGAAGAGGAGGAGGAAGAAGAGATGGCAGCAATGGTAGGGTGTGACACCCCAGCCCCTGTGCTGCCAACACCCCCTGAGGCTCCTAGGCTCCCTGCCCCAGCGCACCCTGAAGGAGCCCCTCCTACTGACAGTGAAAGCAAGGAGGTGGGCAGCACTGAAACAAGCCAAGATGGAGATGCCAGCTCCAGTGAAGGGGAGATGCGGGTCATGGATGAGGACATCATGGTAGAGTCAGGTGAGAAGTTCGGAGTTGCCCAGGGGCAGCTGGGATGATGGGTATGGGGCTGTTGTGGATGCAGCAGCTCAGGCACAATACTAAACCAACCTTTTTTGCCCCAGGTGATGACTCGTGGGACCTGATCACGTGTTACTGCCGAAAGCCCTTTGCTGGGCGGCCCATGATCGAGTGCAGCCTCTGTGGGACATGGATCCACCTCTCCTGTGCTAAGATAAAGAAGACGAATGTCCCTGACTTCTTTTACTGCCAGAAGTGCAAGGAACTGCGGCCAGAGGCCCGGCGGTTAGGGGGGCCTCCCAAATCTGGAGAGCCCTGACATCACTGTCTCTAGGCTGGAACTTCCAAATGACAACATGACTTGGGAACTGAGCCTCGGGGTCCTCAGCCCATCCCCCGAAGCTTGGATATCGTCCCACTTCAAGGCAGGAAATCCCAAGGGAGACTCGTT